AAATAATGTTCGAGAGATTGCTGGACTCCTGACCGCCGTATGGTGGTTATGACTTTCTCCACCATCAAGCCCATGTATCTGAATTTATATAAATTTGAAAAAAATAGGATAGGATTTGCATATTTATTCTGGGGGAGAAGAAAGCTGACAAAATGGTTTATCATATGGCTTCCTGTCCGGTTACCAGTCCATGTCGGGTATTATTTGTTTTCGGAAGCATGGACTTGATGGTTTGGTGTTACGTGCTAAGGTTAGGAATACGCTGGTTGCTGGCCAACTCTGATTATTTCTATTCCTTTTGAAAATGTTTATCAAGTGTTCAATTCAAGTTAAATGTTAGAGTCCTGAAACACATTGAACATGTAAATGAAGCATAAATAAGACACAGTTAAAAGTGCTCCAGGAGTGTGTGTACCAATATGGAGGTAACTGATATTGTTCGCCTATTTTACATCAAGTTGTGTGAAGGGACTGAAACCTATGGGCAGGGCGTATATTCACTTGGCTAACACGGACAGTCTCCGAACTCGTAATAGAATTAAAATAAGGAAAATAGGAATAAAATTGTAGTCTGACCCTAACCTGGTACACATACTATGGGAGTATCAAAAAATCAATATCACTTGAAAAAGGTCAGCCATTTAATGATTGTTTTGATCGCCACGGCGATTGTTTTAAAAGCCGAAATTCCCCCATTTTGATTTACCAAAAAATGCAACAGCATGATTCTCGTTGATTACCCTTCGCGGGTTCGCAGTTTTGAATACTCGAGGATAGGTATGTGCGAGAAGATTGCCAAACTCGACACATAACCGCTGGCTGGTTGCGGCTTCTCCCACCATCAAGTCCATGCTTCCGAAAACAAATACAGTAACTGACTTACAAATCCCAACATGGAATGGTAACTGGACAAGAAGCCGATGTATGGTATGCCATATGATTAAGTCGTCTTATTAACTTTTCTCTCCCCCGGGTTGAATATGTTAATCTTAATCATTTTCAATTAATTCCTCTCTTTATTCCTCCTTCACTATACATAAATATTTCCATCATTTGTTCAATCTTTGGAGGATCCTCAGCCAGTGCAAAACTCGCACTCTGGCTTTTGCAGAGTTTGAATAGTTTATAAAATATTCATAATATGTATTAGAAGAATACTAACTATAGACTAAAATATTTGTAAAATTAGACCAAATCTAAAGTTATATTTCCTTCCCAAGGGAATTTCTCCCCAGTTGGGAAACGTTGGTGTATTGCAGTTGTAATCGCCAAGTCAGACCGTATCAGCTCTAGCCCTCCCTAACCCCATTGCTATGCCCCCCACATTGCTATGCCATTTCACTACTCCCTTATTCACAGCTAATATTCAAGAAAACAAAGTTCATGCATTGTGAAAAGGAATCAAAAGATTCAAAATATGCAATAGAAGAGAAAAGGTCGGGAACTATTGCCTTAGCAATGTATGTTTCCCCCGGAATCGTTTTTTTTTCATAAAAGTAGTGACGGTTTTTGACATGTAAACCAATATTTTTCTGACGTCAAGGGTCGGGGAAACGTCTATTTATTGACACACCTCTTTTCCATTCAATATACCATTTTTGGTATATTCTCAAACCATGTGGTGCAGTGATTTTCGACCGCCCCCCCCCCCCCCCTCCCCCATCTCCCTATAATTCCAAACGCCCCTTTTCTTTTTCAGGTGTGACACCATGCTTCAACTCTCAACATAAATAAAATTGTATTTGAATATCCAGAAAGTGGTTCATATTCCGATGAAAATGATCAGTCAAACACATTTTTATCATTTACAAATAGTTTTATCACTAATAACAAAATACCTAACACCCCTTCAATTTGGAAACACCCAAACAATTATTCGGCAAATATCTACTTTTGGGATTCCATGTGCAAAGTGTATATGACAATTTAAAACTTTGTTAAAAAATTGAGTTGCGAGAGCCATCCAAAAATTATGTCACTGCGACGTCACACTGACCAGTAGAATTATGCTTTTTTTCACTTGGTAGACTTTTCTGCTGCGACAAATCACAAATTATGTAACTAATACTTTCTAATACACACAAAATGTATAAGTGAGCTAGCTATTATTGGAGAGGGCAAGCATCGATCTTCCACCACATTTTTGCATCTAGAATGTCTGACTGACCCACCTGTCTTATACCAGACTACCCTACCAGAGCTGCCCAGAAGAACCTATGACTAGCCCAATAATTGGCATACTTTCTTCAGACAGAGATTGTGATACTGTTGGATATAATATCAGACTACTTTAGTAGAACCCAACATTTACAGCAAGCACAACTGCGGTAACTAACTAATTTCCGGAGACAAACACCAAAAAACATATTATTAGAATTTGCATTAGAATTTATCAAGAGAATTTATCAATTTTGCATAATTATAATTCAACATGAACTTATGGAAACTTGAAAAGTAAAAAAATAAAATCAGTACAACACACTGAATAGTTGTTACCTGGAATTAGACTACTTTTCATTTTTTACATCTATTCGTATCAGGAAGATATATCGATCCTTGAATGAATAATATATTACAAGTGAGAAATAAATCAGGGAGGGGCAAAGTTTTTGGACCAGTGGCATAATATTTTGCCCAATGTGACAGGCGGCCCATGTAAGTGTGACGAAGAAAGTTAAATTTTATGAACAATATTTAAAGTGTTACAAAAGCAAAAGTGGAAATAATAAGCCTATTGCCAATACCAAATTTAATTGCAATCTCAACAAATTCCTTGAGCTATTGTTTAGCTAAGAAAACAAAATTTAGTTTCAATATGGCAATTGTCAAAATGAATTTGAGATGAGTATCGGTCAATTGAGATCTGTGTTCAGATTCGTTGAAATTCATTCGGCTTAAGGTCTGTTTACTCACTCACTCACAATTAATTTTTGATAATTTAGTTAATAATCTTCCAATTAGGGATGCAGCAACAGATTATTAGAAACCATTGAGAAACGATAGACTAAATTACATGCCAAGAATGCGTAAGCTATGAACAAAAAAGAACGGTAATATAGTGTTATTGGGACGTTAACAAAACTTTGTCGGCACCAAATTGAAACTCGAGCTTGCGCATTAACGCAAGAGACATGAACGTCTGTGGCAACCTAAAATACAACTTACACAGACTACGATAATAATCTAAACCATACAGATTTCAATAACAACAACTATATGTAGTACATGAGGAATTGGTTAAAAGCAGAAATTCATGGAATCATCAGGCGGGCCAGAATAATTCACCCAACGGGCCAGATTTGCGCATGTCAGTTTTGAATGCTACATTGATTAGCTGCATGTTTTCGATACATATGAACATTACTTGAAAAAGCTCAAAAGTTTTTGCCGTAGAAGTAGTTATCAAATTGAATTATACAAATTCTCATGTTAAATATTTGCACTCAGGAATGGGTTCCTTGAATGTTTTAAAGTCCAGTCGACCCTGCACAGATGGCCACACTTTTACATAGATATGATGCAGTAGCATTGGAAATCTAGTTGCAAAAAAATTCCAGAAACCGATTTCGCTTTTATCAAAAGCACATTGAATTTTTTCCCCATCTTCCCAAAAATGACAGTAGCGATTCCTAAAAAATCTCATTAGGTCGTACAATGAATGCTCGTTAAATCTCAGTTGTCCACTTTTTCTTTTAGTTTCTGATTTAATTGTGTCTTGCGAAACACCATCAGAAGGGCCATATTTTTCTTTTAATGAATGTATAGTTTTATCACTAATTCCAAGCTTTTCAATCCACCCGTTTTCATCAAAAACATTTCTTCCATCAATACCATAAATATCACGTATGGTTTTATCAAATTCATCAGAATATCCATCCCCAAATCCATTTGCATCTTTTATATGGCCGAACACGGCACATATGAACTGACACTTTTTGTTGGCTGACCAGAAAAAAGGATGACTAAGAATGCCATCAGAATCATAAACATGATGTATATTGGATGCCAAATCGAAAGCCAACGATGGGTCTTCATAGTCCAAAAGTGAGAATATAAACTCCATTTCCTCATGATTTCCATTTTCTCTTACTGTCTGGTACACATGAATTACATCATGTGCGTATGCAACATACATGGGTGGGTGAATAGCTCTGAATAGCTCTTCATATGTTGTGGTACTTTCATTACTGGTATTTTCCTTCAATTTGCCATGAGAAAGTACATTCAAAATAAGCTGTCCGTAACTCTTCAAAATTTGTTTAATGTCACATAAACGCTGGTTTGTGTCACCAATAGCTAGATGTTTTTTATTTGTCCCAATGTAGATACTTGAAGAGTTCACTCCACAGATAACTCCCTCATCATGCATTTGCATTATAACGTGTATAACTTTAAGAAGTAGAGCTTCTCGGAAGTTATCTGAAAGCCTCTTTTGTTTTCTATTTTTACCTTGTAATATTGGGTTTTCGGTTAGCTGGTTTGCGATTTCTGGGTATGGGGAATACTTGACACAGCCCGATATTATATTCTGCCCATGTTCAGTTTTTAAATGATTACATTTTTTCTTGAAAAATGTAGCGAAATGATAAGCAAGATCCAACGATGATTCGCTTTTAAATGACACATCAAAACCTTGGTTTGTCATTGGCGTATTTACATCTGAAATATTGCATCCATTATTCCGTTCTCTCCTATTAAATGGAAGGGCTCTATCTTCAGCCATGTAAAAGCTAACTATTTGCTCTAAAATATTTCTAATTATACTACTGAATCTGAAAATGAAATACAAATTACATGGGCAATTAAAATTGAATACAACTATTGAGAAATATATCATTTCTAACTAAAAGTAATGTGAGAGATTTTTTAAAATCTTTTACAATCTAACAAACAATTGAAGAATAAGAATGCAATAAATTCATCAAACAAACAGAAATATATAAAAAAAATAGATTTATTTAATAGCATAGAATTATTTACACATTTTTTACTCAAAATAAGCAAAGTTCACTCTTCGCTTTACATTGTAAAATCTCAAATAAAATAAAATATAGGCTCAAGTTATAAAATTTATAATGGTTTAAGATAACTTAAAATTAGAAAAAACACAAATATAAATGCAGAAAAATGGTTATTAATTAAAAATATGGATAAATAATATTAAAAGCGAACGTTTTCAAAGAATCCAAGGAATAATTCTAAAAGTTTACATATAGCTCCTTATCAACGATATTATACTAAATTTGCACAAAATAGAGTATATATTCAATTTACTGATCTAATTTTGTTGTTATTCTCAGTCCCCTAAAAATTTTAAATAAAAACGTGAATCCGATAAATTGGATGCAAATAACAGTGTTTCTTCCCAGTAACAATAATCACCTCAACAAACAAAACAAAAATTATTAGTATGAAAATTGAACATTTGTTTCCAATAAACACAAGAGTGTACATCGGCCACATTATATTTAAGTCTCACGGGCGGATAGGTGAATATTACGCCCAGTCATTCCATTAGCTTGAGGTCTTGGGTCAAGTGTTATCTGCTCAGGGAATTAACCTATGTATAGATCTTAGCACACTAGGGATTGCTTCCAGCTTTTCTCCTTATACTCATACAAGTTTTGGTTAAACTTTTAACACAACATTGCATTTGGCAAACATGTATACATTTAAATTGGAAAACAATTCTTAATAAAGGACTTGAACAATAAATATGTTTTTTATAAATCGGGATTATATAAAATACAAAAAATCACAATTTCTTTTGTTTGGCAAGAATTAAAATTATTTCAAAAACTAGTAAACTATTATTGTCACCGACACCATTTAGGACGATCATCACTATACTTTAGCAAGTTCTATTATAACATTGTGACATAATTTGAGATGACGTAGTCATATGGGAGTCTGAAATGACATATGCAAAAATTGTTAAACCACGCCCACTAAAAGTACATATCTGCTTGTAGTACAATTTAGATATTACAGTGATATCATTTATTTTTTTTCTGTTCTGGTCTTCTTTTTCTCTTGTTTAAAAATATCTTCATCTGCAAGTATAATCCTTGTTTCCTGTTGAAAAAAAATAATCGAATAAAAAAAAGTTCGCTATCGATCATAATTAACACAAAATTCTCTCATTACCTCAAATCAGAATAATTTAAAATTAATGAGTTTTTTTAATATTTCGTTTAGCTTAAATGGCTAACATTATTTAATGATGGTTATTACTCATCGATTTCAATCGGTAGGTATATTGATAGGTATTTGTCTGTCTGTCTGTCTGTTAGATGCACGCGATATCTCACAAAAGCAAGATTGAATTTGCTCAAGATTTCGCATGTGCATTCATCATATGTCGGACCAGAAGCCTATTGATTCTGGATGAATTATGTCGTATAATTAACGAGTTATTAATTAATTAGTGATGGGACACAAGGTGTCACTATGGAGTAAGAGGGCTTTTTTGGGGGATCCCCTAACTTTCTATCGATGGTCTCTGACCGATATTCTCGTATTTTATATTAAGAATGCACAGTACGGTGGCTTATCATTTTTATGTAAAGAAATTGAAACAAATGGCAGCCAACAATGTGTTTTTTTACTGGAATTTCTGATTTCACTCGAATGGTTGTCATGGATTTTTCAATATGGACAAAGTCCCCTGTTACAAACCACATCTGCCTACCAGTCCTGATCTAGTAAGTATGCAAATAGTGCATATGTGCAAAAATGCATCGTGCTAAGCATTAGGAATGCTCTCGCTACCGCAACACCTCCGATTACCCTGTGTGGGTTCGAATCCCATGCTGGACAGTTATGTGGGACAGGATTGCTGGACTCCTCACCTTCATAGGGTGGATCACATAACGGCAGGTCGGTTATGGCCTTCTCCCACCATCGAGTTCATGCATTCGAAACAAGTGACTGGCTAACTAATACCATATCCGACTTGAATCGATAAACGGTGCTCCCGAAGTATGCGAACCAAGATGGCGGACATCGGAGCGTAACATGGGTAACAGGTTAGGGTTAGGCGATAATTTTTTTCCAATTTTCCTTATTTTAGTCCTGTTATCAGTTCGAAGACTAGCCAAGAGCCTCCCGTAGTATTTATACCTAAAATTATGGCCTAACCCTAACCTAGTACACATATTACATTCCGATGTCCGCCATCTTGGTTCGCATACTTCGGGAGCCCCCGATAAACAGACAAGAGGCCTTAGTTAGTCATATGATTAAGCCACATCATCGGCCTTCCTCTCCCCAGGGATAAATATGTGAACTGAACCCTATTCTAGTTTGAAGTTATGGAATGTTCCAAGAACCAGCCCTAAAACAATCCATTTTTGTCTATTATTACTTATCGATTTTAATCGGTAAGTATGTTGATAGGTATTTGTCTGTCTGTATGTCTGTTAGATGCACGCGGTATCTCACGAAACCAAGATTGAATCTGCTCCAGATTTTGCATGTGCATTCATCATATCTCGGACCAGAAGCCTATTGATTTTGGGCAAATTATGTCGTATAATTAGCGAGTTAATAATTAATTAGTGATGGGACACAAGGTGTCACTATGGAATAGGAGCGCTGTTTTGGGGGATCCCCTAACTTTCGATGATAAGTCTTCGATTCTGACCGACATTCTCGTTTTTTTTCATTTTGTTTTCTCACATGGAGTGTTCACCTCACCAAAGGTGTAATAAAGTGGGTGGACACTTGTATTCAGACAGGACTTAAAATAAATAGTAGCTTCTCACATATTGTTAGTTATCAGTGGTTGATTACACACGTCACAATTGGTGAGTAAGCGACATTGAGATTGGTGATCATGGTTTTTAAGATCACAGTAATAAAGTATTGCAAACTCACAGAATGCTTTAGGCTGTCCAACAAAAGACTTCGGCATGCTGAAGTAAGAGTGTGAAACTTTAGAACAAGTTCCTCTGAGATATGAGGAATAACCTCACAAATTGCCTCGATGTAATCAATAGTCACCAAGCGATCACTGTCACTGAGATTGAGAGCTTGAATCTTAATATAGAAGAATAAATGTTCAGAAAGAATGTGGGTGTAAATAACCAACTCTAATATGAATGAGATATAGATACGTTTCTCATCGAACTTTGCGTTTTGTTATTCAGCCATGATATCTATCGGTTGGAACAATAAATTAGGTAGGCAATGTCAAAAACGAAAAAATTCTGATCTTTCTATACAAGTATAAAAATACCATCTCTACTTTGTCACCTGCGAAAATGTGACAAATCGAACTCCACAGTGCATGTCTAAAGCTATCTTTTATACCAACACCTCCCCCCTCCCCCTTTTCTAAGGGAAGAGTTTTGTATTTGAAGAAAGAATTGACCAGCATATGTACCAGCATATATGTTTCGTGTATAGTGAAGGAAGAATTAAGAGATTAGAATGGGCAAAGAGAGGTAATTATTAGAAAAAAAGCTTTACATGGTAGTCAATATTACTTACTGGCTTTTGTATGTTGTCGCAAAATGCTTTCACATTGTTTTTAGAAAGCATGCATTCGCTCATGTTGACTTTTTTCAGAGTACCATTGTTTACCATTCTCGCTATGTGAATGACGCCTCGCCCAATTGAACGATTATGCGATATATCCAATTGATGAATCTAAAAATATTTCGACATGTTATATTTATTATAGAACAGGGGTAGGCAAGGTTTGTGGAATAATGGCCAAAAATTTTTCCACCTAGACTGGCGGGCGATGTGATTGTGACGTAAAAAGTTACATTTCATGAACAATATTTACAGCGAGAGAAGCTTAAGTGGAAAACATGAAGCATTGTGCTAAAACTAAATTTAATCGCAGTCTCAACAAATTCCTTGAGCCATTTTTTAGCTCAAATATCAACATTTGTTTTTAGTTTAGTTGTGGCAGCATCAGGCGGGCCGGATTAGGCCCACGGGCGTAGTTTGCTCATGTCAGTTATAGAATCTTGTTTTATGACTTTACAAATTGTTACGAAATTATTATAAAATGCTCATTCACACTTTTCACTTTAAATTAGGCCCTGTGCAGCCAATTATATCTAATGATATGTAATAATGCTAATTCAATTAACTTCGAACGTAATATACTGAAATCATTGAAATTGCATTATTATGGAGACTCTGAAAATCTAAGTAAATTTTTCGACGACCTCAAAAATATGAATTGCTAGGTATAAATTGCTAACTGTGTTTAATCGGGGTGTAGAAGTGTAATAATAAATTTTATTTTTCGTTCAACATATACAACTATTATCACCAATTACTATCATTTGAAACGAACCGTCATATTTCCAGTCGGGTCTACCCAATTTATTACCCCCTGAGGTTGGGGGTATAGAATTTGACTCTAAGATCTGTGACAGCAACACAGTGAAGTCTAAAGATTCAACGTCTGGAACAGGGGTGTGTAACCTGCGGTCCGCAGACCAATGTGGTCCACAAGAAAAATTGTGTGGCTAGTAGAAAAGTGGCTATTTTGAAAGGTGTCCGACCCATGAAACAACATTTAAATTTAGTTTAATCTGGTACGTTTAAGTAATTCCAATCCCTTTGCATTGCAAAGCCCATATCCGAATCCCATTTATTACCTACGTCTATGATGTTACAATACCCTAACAGCTAGCTTGTGTGAAGCGAACACAGCATGTCATATGATCAAATACCAAAATTTTTGTGCTTGCAACTACTACAAAGGATATGTTACTAGCGGCCCTCCTTTATTAAAGGTTGAACACCCCTGTTCCAGGCAATCGTGATGCTGCCATTCAGAAGGGATATAAAGATATAATAAAATGGCCTAAAGAGTACTTGACAAAACGCTATCAAAGATGTTTTTTCAATTATGCTGGTAATGGAAATATAATCTTTGATACTATAATTTTTAAGTTCATAGTCTATTTATAAACAATGTTCTTAAAAAGAGATATTACATGCAGAAATATTTTACAAAATAAAGATTTTATTAGGAAAACTTGCTCAAAGCAAGATTAAACCACTCACTCAGAAACTATGTCAGTCATAATGTTACAAATTAAACTCAAATCCTTAACAAACAAAAGCTATTTTTTTTCTCACCTGCTTTGATTGTTGAGCAGAAGATACAAAGCTTTCCATAAGCTTTTCATTCAATTTGCAACCCGCAAGATTTACATCCTCAACTCCATACTTTAGCACAAATGATCCGAGTGCGCTCATGCCTTTTGCTTCCAATGTGTCATTATAGCTCACATCAAGCTTATTGAGCTATTGAAAAAAGCACAGAGTGAGAAAAGACTGAAGATATCTATTTTTAAAATTAATAAAATATGGAATGAGAATAGCATTTCATTTTTTCATGAAAATAGCTGAATTGTTGCTTTACTTCTATTCAAAAATATTATATAAGGGTGTCCATAAAGTCCCTTTTACAATTTCAATTTTGTCACGAAATAAGTTCTCAATATATCTTAAAGAGTTTTGTTGTTTTTTAATCAGTAATTGTTTACGTATTTTTACTTCATTTAATATATCTGTGATATATGGTATCAATAAATTCTTTTACAATTCTAAAAATTTTAGGACTTTATAGACGCCCTATACTATATAATAACAAATTGTATTTTTGCTTATGAAAACGTCTAAAATTGAGCCAAGCAGGGGTATACGGGGTACGGCCCACATAGGGGGTGTAGATAATTTTGTGGGGACGTGAAGCCAGTCAAAAATAAAAATATTGTTCGATTTGATTCCATCCACCTTATTTTAGATATGTACATTTTTATATTGTTCAGAGATTGCGATGCCCGTATTCACGTATTTCCGATGATTAAACATACTTTTGTTTTACTATCTGTTATTTGTAGCTAGCTTATTGTTGGTTAGTTATATTTGAGAGGAGGTGCGAGAATTGACAAATTCTAAGAAGGGGGCGTGACTTAAAATCACTGGAGTCAGCTTTCCTCCTATCCTATAACTGTGTGTAAGAGACTGTGTCTTCTCATCAATGTAGGTTGGTTCATGTAATCGCTAGTCAGATACCGCTTCATCCACCATGTCGTCTATGTATTTCAAACAAATACCTGACTAACTAATTGCATTCCAAGATGCCATAGCACACCATAAGATTAAGCCCTTTCTTCTAGGCTTCCCTCGGTACTCATGGAGTATGTCAACCAAGGTGGCAGATACCGGTATGTAGTATTTGTACCAAGTTAGGGTTAGGCCATACTTTTATACCAATTTTTTTTAGTTCTATTGCGATTTGATGAATAGCCAACAGACTCTCGTAGTATTTGTACCTGAAATTATGGCTTAACCCTAACCTGGTACACATACTACGTTCCGGTGTCCGCCATCTTGGTTCATATATTTCGTGAGTACCCTTTCCTCTCCCCAAGAGTAATTTGAAAATCATATACTAACTGCCCACCTTTCTTCTTTCAGGAATGGCCTCTTGCAGGCTGTCCAGTTTTTGACTTGTCATTTCACAATCACTAATGGATAAGTTTTGAAGCCCAGAAGTTGTCGTTATTTCTCCAATCGTGAAGAAGCCTTTTCTTGTAATTTCTGGATTGCAACTTATATCAAGAGAGTCCAGCTGAAATATCAAGTCATGAATTGTTAATAAAACTAAGGATTGTAAAATTTGTTTAGAACTAAATCTTATATAGAGACATTTAAAGAAACAAAAATAACAAGTCCCATGCCATCTATCTCATCCCGGGTGTATTAAATTGGGTAGCCAATGCTAAGCCGTAATGATTCCAGTCCTTCCAAATAATAGTACCTCCTTACATACCATTAAAAATCATTGGCTTTTGTAGAGAGAAGCGTTTCTCAAACTGTGTTCCGCGGAACAGCTTCTTCGGAGTGTCCCATGCAACATAGACCTAAATTGATTGCCATGGCAATCTCGGCTGACCCTCTGGGTTGTAAATTTGTCTCTCAACTGGCGACAAACAGGCAAACAAACCTTGCTATCTAAACAGTCGGACAAGCCTGGTGGAAATCAGGGTTTTTTTGTCAATTGTTCCATATCGTAAACCGTCTGTTCGTGTCAGGTGTGGGGTTAGTTAGCCACTTTTTTGTTTTGAATGAACGGCAGTGGCCTACAGGTTACAGCGCCATACTGCATCGGCATGGCAGATTACACATCTTGGGTCAAAATTCTATATCCCCACATCACCCGGGTGTAATAAAATGAGTAAACTGGGAAAATTTATATTTCACAGGATTGAAAACCTGTGGATCCACGCAATGGCCGTATATTCCTAGAACGTAGCACAATGCGCCATTTGTATTGCCGCCTTGTTTGGATCAAGGACATCGAACATTGAAATAGAAGACATTTTACCTGTTTTTGTTCCAGGGAAGATTTGAATTTTTCAACTTTTTCATCAGTTAAACTGCAGTCAAACATACGGATTTTTGTTACTGGTAGTAGTTTAACAAGGTTTCCACATATGCTGAAGTCTTCAGGACTCATATCTCTGTTGTAACTGAAGTCCAAGTTTTCGAGTTCTAGATGTAGACTCTAAACAAACATTGAACAGAATTTATGCTGCGAAACATTAAATATGTGTGAAACATAATCGTAAGGGTACTCTTGAGTATGTGTACCAGGTTAGGGTTAGGCCATATTTCATTCCGATTTTCCTTACAAGTTTGGGGACTGTCGTTTTAACCAAGTGAATATACCTCCTGCCCTTAGGCTTCCGTCTCTTCACACAACTTGATGTGAAGTAGGCGAACAAAATTAGTTACCTTCATATTGGTACACACACACCTGTTAGCTTGCCCATAGGTTTCAGTCCCTTTACACAACTTTATGTAAAGTAGGCGAACAAAATTAGTTTCCTCTATATTGGTACACACACACACGTGTTAGCCAAGCGAACATACCCCCTGCCCATAGGCTTCAGTCCCTTTACACAACTTGATGTAAAGTATGCGAACAAAATTAGTTACCTCCATATTGGTACACACACACACACTTGTTAGCCAAGTGAATATACCTCCTGCCCATGGGTTTCAGTCCCTTTACACAGCTTGATGTAAATTATGCGAACAAAATTAGTTACCTCCATATTGGTACACACACACACACTTGTTAGCCAAGTGAATATACCCCCTGCCCATGGGTTTCAGTCCCTTTACACAACTTGATGTAAGTATGCGAACAAAATTAGTTACCTCCATATTGGTACACACACACACACTTGTTAGCCAAGTGAATATACCCCCTGCCCATGGGTTTCAGTCCCTTTACACAGCTTGATGTAAATTATGCGAACAAAACTAGTTACCATCGAATTGGTACACACACAAGTGTTAGCCTGCTTATAGATTTCAGTCCCTTTACACAACTTGATGTAAAGTAGGCGAACAAAATTAGTTACCTCCATATTGTTACACACACACACGTTAGCCAAGTGAATATACCCCCTGCCCATAGGTTTCAGTCCCTTCACACAACTTGATGTTAAGTAGGCGAACAAAATTAGTTACCTCCATATTGTTACACACACACACGTTAGCCAAGTGAATATACCCCCTGCCCATAGGTTTCAGTCCCTTCACACAACTTGATGTGAAGTAGGCGAACAAAACAAAATTAGTTACCTCCATATTGGTACACACATACACGTTAGCCAAGTGAATATACCCCCTGCCCATAGATTTCAGTCCCTTTACACAACTTGATGTTAAGTAGGCGAACAAAATTAGTTACCTCCATATTGGTACACACACACATGTGTTAGCCAAGTGAATATACCCCGTGCCCATAGGTTTCAGTCCTTTTACACAATTGAAGTAAAGTAGGCAAACAAAATTAGTTACCTCCATATTGGTACACACACACACGTGTTAGCCAAGTGAATATACCCCGTGCCCATAGGTTTCAGTCCTTTTACACAATTGATGTAAAGTAGGCAAACAAAATTAGTTACCTACTTACCTCATTTGCTGAATGTTTTAGAACAGTTTGCATTTCCGTTAAATCTTCTTTCTTTAGTTGGACAGCTTGAATTTCCAATGTTTGGGTTTCTGATTTTCTCATCACCAGAAACAATGTTTCGAAGTACTGTTCCAATTCGCACATTCCCCATATGGAGATTTTCTCAATCTGTAGAGAGAAATGCCGTTCAGCACAGGGGGATTGCCAAAAATTTTCAAGTTCTGAAATTTTTGTTCGCCAAGTTTGATCGAAACATTTTATTTTTCAATTTCAAAAAGTGAGGGGGGGGGGAGGGGGTCGACCCCAAAATCCACCTCCTGGCTACGCACTTAGTTTAGCATGAGCAACTTATTATCTTTTGCCATCTTCTTACTATTACTATCTGGCACAAAACAGAAGAGGGCCAATTGCAAAAGCCTGGTCAAGCAACAATTTTTAGGGGCCAATTTTTTTTATTAGGATGTATACCTGACCTTTCACTCTTCACTGATATAACAACAACTTAGAATTTTGTATATTGCACTTCTGCACCTTAATTAATCTTAATTATCAATTTATACCTTGCAATCCACATTTTTGAGGCCGTCGAAAAATGTTTTTAGATTCTCAGAATCTCCACAATAATGCAACTTCAATGATTTTAAGAAATCACATTTTGAGATAGTTGAATGAAGAACTTCGATGTTTGGGTCTTGCAGCTCATAATTTATTACAGATATTCCTTTGACACAAGCACTTATAACTGATACCGGGTCGTTTTTGTGTTTGTGTAAGACTTCAACGAGATCGTAGGTGTCTTCCACACTTTCAAGATCGTCAGATAAGCCTTGTAAAAAAATAGGTATTGATTAGAACAGTTGTTCTAGACCAGGGTTTGGGGAGCCCAGGGCTTCTGCGTCGTTTCACATTCTATTGATTGGCATTTTCAATAAACACAATTACCGTATATATATATATCAAATATACATATAATCAGGTTCATCCCACCTCTGGAATGTTTCATTATAGTTTCGCTCTGCCATAGGGGTTGAAATCTCTCTCTTAGTGAAATAGGAGTAGTATTACAGTAATTTAGAATAGTTTTTTCAAAAGATCTTTTAGAATTCAAAATCCATTTGAGAAAGAGCATTTAAATTTCAAATTTCGTACTTTCTTTCTATTATCTTATTACCGGGCTTAATTAATTTAATTTTCATATTATTTGAGAGGGGCTTTTATATATTTTTTTACTGTGGGCCATAACATAGGATAGAATTTACATATTATCCTTTGGGAAAGGAAAGCCCATAAGACGGCTTAACCATATGGCGAACGGATTTGAGAGGTACCGAATGAAAAAGTGCAATGCATATTCGAATATTTCAAAATTGGTAATATCGATGATACTCATTATTGTGTATCCATGTTAGTCCACAGGTTACTATACATGTTACAACACATATATATATATAAATATATGTACATTGTGGGCTATCACTCGCTATACTAACTGGGAAAAGTTCAATAAAGCAGACGCAGTAAATGCCATGTATACTGACTTATACTGCAAAACATTCCAGATGGAAATCAAAGAACTGAATAAATCAAAAATCTCTATTTGCCTATTTTTAGCGAGTACCGGTGCAATTACCAATATCGACAAAATACCTCATACTATTGGTACATTTCTAATCAGTAAACGAAAATATATAACCAGTTTATTAGTAGGGTGAAGGAAACCTAACATTTTCTGGATACATGAACCACCCCTACAAAGCAAACAACTGAATGATAATAGGACACCCAATAGTAGTAACCAGGACATATTTTACTTACTAATAATTCCGAAGTACTGTTTGAATAACTAAAAATACCTTTCTTAAAAACTTCCTGGATGTTCAACTTTTCAATTTCTTTGTGACCTCCTAAATTACAAAGAGAAATCCAAAGTTATATGATATGAGTTACATTTATTCTAGGGGAAAGGAAAGCCGATAAGACGACCTAACCATATGGCGAACCGCGCCCTCTCGCCTGGTTACCAGTTCATGTCGGTATGGGAATAGTTAGTCAGGTATTTGTTTTCAGATGCATGGACTTGGTTAAGCTTGTTGAAAGTTGAAAGATCTGGTGCTTTTTTAGTTAAATTTTTCTCCCAAAACAAAACCCTTGAACCAAAGATATATTACAATTTGTAAGGTGGTATTTTATAATCTTATCTACACGGAACGGAATCTTTCTGGTTCAGCATTGCCCACCAAAATGATTACACCTTACTTGAGGTGGGTACTTGTGCTATCGATTGGTTTGGCAGCATTAACTACTTCTTCTTTTATGCTTTGGCGGTGGCAGTGGGGGATCTGTATGAGTAGGACGCAAAGATGTTGCAGTGAAAGTGAATATGACTATTCTATATTATTTAAAAGTCTTGCTACTCTCCAACACATCTGACCTTGATCAAACAAAACGCTACAAAAATGTATGTGAACTATCGTGCAGCAAGACTTTTGAATTAAGTAGAATAGTCATCTCCACTCTCGCTACAGTATCCTACCAGCTTCTGAGTTCTTATATATGTAATTATGTCTTCAAAGTATTTGATTTTGATTGGATCTATTGTTGGGGTAAATCAAGATATATTCACAAGTTCCCAAATACATACCATCTATCACATTGAAAATTAGGGGCTCCCGAAGTATGCGAACCAAGATGGCGGACATCGGAATGTAATATGTGTACTAGGTTAGGGTTAGGCCATAATTTTAGGTATAAATACTATGGGAGGCGCTTGGCTAGTCTTCGAACTGATAATAAGACTAAAATAAGGAAAATTGGAAAAAAATTATCGCCTAACCCTAACCTGTTACCCATGTTACGTTCCGATGTCCGCCATCTCTTTGTGCATACTTCGGGAGCACCGAAAATTATTTATCTTGGCGTTATGGCATATCATGTCAAGCTTTAGGAATAAGCCTCCCATTGAATCTCTTATAACCCTGCATGAGTTTATAATGGCGGATAATAATGTGGCAAACACCTCACGGTCGCAAGATGGTTCATGTAACTGGTGTTTGGTTTAGACTTCCTCCATCAGCAAGCCAATGCCACATTGCCACACCGGACTTAGACTGGTAACCAGACAAGATGTACGCTATATAGATAAACTGTCTGATTGGCTTTCCTTTCTCAGTGATGCATATCTTTAAAAAATTCTAATTTCGAGTAAACCTCACCTAAATTTTGCTCGTATAAAAGTTTTGTCTAAACAAGATAAACTAAAAAGTTGTAGTCACAAATGGCGAAAGAATGCCACAAATTGAGTCGAAGGAAATGATCTCTGAATTTAAATAAAAATTGAATGAGTAAAATACCTGAAGCTTTGGCATGACTTCTAATGCTGTCTGATGGTCTCCATGTCAGATCTAGAAATTGCAAAAAAAATAAATGATTACAACATGCAATAAACCAGTAAATGATGAAATAGAAAACTATATGCTTCTATGTGCAAAGAAATTTATTTGATAGAAATTATTCAAATCACGATCGCCAGCCCTAACTTAGATGTGAAGGAGGCACACTATAAAAGCGAGTCAATGTAAATAACAATATTATTCTATATCAATATCTAACATAAGATATGAAGATACAAGAAAAGGACAAATGCCACTAGAATTTCCTTGCTATTTAGGTCTTTGACTTAATTTTGTTATCATCACAGGTTCAAATCCCATGCCCACAACGTCTATCAGGGTGTATTAAATTAAGTAGGCAACGCTGAATTGGGAAGGTCCAGTTTTTTTTAAAAAAAAATAGTAGCTCTGTTATTTTTTTTATATTCTGAATGGTGCTTATAACTGGTGTAGTTATGGACTATGATATTATGTGTTGGGTATTCAAATGCTTTGACCCGTTATGAGGAAGTATTCAATAACAAAATATATAATTCTGGGATTTGTTAGTAAATTGTAGTAGCTCTGTACTATCGTTAGATATTATTGGGATGATTGTACGCACTGGATTTAAACAGAAACTTTTCTATACTTTTCTGGTAGGAGAACACATTTGACAATCTATGAAATAGTATGCTATATAGCAGTGGGTTGTCATTACACCCCTGAGCGGGTTTGTAGTTTCAAATTCTGTGGGCATGAGGGATAATCATTTGCAGAGGTATTACTGGACTCCTCGTTGTCGAAGAGTAGTTAATGTGACTGCAGGTTTTTTACAACTGGCCACCACTGATATAGATAAAGGCTCAATATAACTGTTGGAAAGGGAAAGAAACTGAAGCTGGCTGAGACTCACATATAATCGATAAGACGACTTAATATTATGCTGAACTGCTGCCTCTCATCTGGGTACCACTTCATGCTTGTTAATAATTAACCGGGTATTTGTTGCAGATGCAGATAACTAAATTTAGGACTGAAGGACTAAATTTAACGACAAAGCTCAGCATCCACTGAGCCTTTTTAGTACAATGCACCATCTTAAGCCAATGACCAAACTAAATGGGATTACACTGACCTTTCTCATCTTCCACTTTTTCCATCATTTTTCCAAGTTCCTGTTTTGTTTTTTCAGATTCTTTCTCAGCTTCCTCTGCCCCGTTCACAATTTTCTTCAGTTTTTCTTTGTGACTTTCGGATAGAACATTGACTGGAATAAAGATTAAAAAACAGAATATGAAAACTTTAAATGGTGCAATAGTAAACATCACAGCCATGAGTGGGTTTGCATTTTTAAGTTCTGTGGGCGTGAGAGATGATTACGTGCGAGAGTATCAGTTTATGCTAATTATGGTAATAATTAACCAGTCATGTGTATTTAATGTAGTACACCTCATACCAATATAATGCTCTCACACACATTATGGACTATTTAAATTGTACAAAAACGAGAGTGAAAGGATTCATTAAATATTAAAAAAAAAGTTTATGGTGTAGAGTGAGGGAGGAATAAAGATTTCCAAAATAGGCGAAGAGAGTAAGTGTGTTTCCAGTTTGGTAAAGAAATAAACTACCGGTTGACTGAATTTAAAAGCAAAGAACCACTGAGTCATCTCAGTACAATGCACCATCTTAAGATAATCAAACTACGGTACATCCCAGTGATCCCACCGACCTTCATGAGTCATATTCATTTGCAATCTCATTTTTTCCTTCATTCCAACTTCCTGTTTCATTTTTTCAAATTCTTTCTCCATCTCATCTCTTGGTTTCACGAGTTCTTCTTCAAAACCACCAGAATCAACATTGACTGATAAAAAGACAAAAAAAAACAGAATATAAAAACTATGAAAGAACATGCTTGTGACCACACAGAGGATATTACTAGACTTCTTGATGTCATAGGATAGTTCATGTAATCACTAGTCGATTACGGCTTTCTCTTCCATGGAATCTATGCATCTCAAACAAATAACTGGTTAACTGGCCGGGGCATGAACTGGTAACCTGATGGCTATTGTTCGACATATGAATTAAGCTGTCTTATCGAGTATATGAATGTACATTGGTTACCTATAAAACTCTTCCAGTACTTGGGCTCAAAATATTATATATACAAATATACATGTTCAACTTACACAATTTTGGTAATGGACACAAGAGATGCCCATGAAAGCATTTGTGATCTTGAATTTCTCCCAAACTCGGTCTGTCGCATGGATCAAACCTAAGCATCCAACCCACTAAATCTTTAACTACATTTGGGAGTTTGGAAAGGTCACGATATTGGTTTTGTTTTATATTACTATTCCAGTCTTTTGGGTTGTTGCCAAATGGGTGACATCCTTTGGCCCATATGAAATACAAAACAAGTCCCATAGAAAAAATGTCAGATTTTTCAGATATAACATTAGCATTGTATGTTTCTGGAGCTCTCCATCCATCTGTTCCTACCCCTGAATATGTGACAGATATTCCCCTTTTCAATTCTTTGCTCAGCCCGAAATTGGTTATTTTCACTACTTTCCCAGTATCAGAAAGCAAGACATTATCAGGTTTAACGTCTCGATGAATAATTCCATTCTTATGAATATGAATGAGGCCATTGATAAGTTGATCTGACAATGTAAATATCATTCTCTCCTCAATTTCCTCGTTCTGTTTTACAAATTCAGTAAGGTTTTGAGGTCCACATAGTTCCATTGCAATGAATATATGTTTGATTGGTCCAGTGTTGTAAACGCCAGATTGTATGAGATTTACAACATTTGGATGGGGGCAAAGCTTGACAAGTATTTTTGCTTCTCTCTCATTGTTTTTGTTGTGTTTTAGCGCTTTAACGGCAATTTGTTTTTGACTTATTTTGTCATTAATTTGCAATCCTTTGTAAACTTCACCGTGCTTTGAAATTTTTTCATGGCGATTCAGAAAAATGGATTCATTTAGACGGATGAAATCTGAAACGTAAAAAGTATTACTGTAAGTAAGATTTATTGTGTACAGAATTTAAACTTGAAGGTGTTGCAAAAAAGTCATTCGGGTATGGGAATAACATATATAGTGATGTAATGATAAAGTTTCCAAAGTTTCTTGTTGCAGTAATCCATAAAGTACGCTACATTCAATGAAGGCGGTACTCATTTTAGGCACAACTAATTCAATGATACAAAGACCAAAATGAAAAACAATATTCAATTTATACAGGGTGGCTAAAGTTGGGTGACATTTATTCTAAATCATTACATTTATTAACTGTTGACCCACATGTGGCCCACCCTGTACATATTGGATATTGTTATTCATTTTAGCCCTTGTTTCAATATTATATTTGTGCTCCTCATTGCTGTACTACTAGATAACGTATGGCGGTTCACATAACAACATGTCTGTTAAGGCTTCTTCTACTAACCACATTCAAACAGATCCTACCTGGACTGCGCGAAGGGAAAGATGATCAAGTTTATGATTAAGCTACATTACCAGCTTTCCTCTCATCAAGATAGATATAATATATATATGTCCTATGTTCAAATTGATGCTTTTTAGGGCCTAATGTTGAAGTTCAAGTTGATGAACCTAACACAGAAACAAACAAGTTCATACACTAGGCTTTTATTAGCTCAAACGTCAACTAAGAGTCTTAAAGCAGCACAAACCAAAGAATGCCTGTCAAATCAAAACGCCACTATTAAAGAACGAACAGTATACGTCAGCAGGGTCAAATGTTGTGACTGTTTAATGTATTGCCAGATTTATATATGACGTTTATTCATGCATTTTTTTCCAACAAAGCCTGTGCAAGCAACAAGTTATATCCAAAAATTTGCAACGACCACAATTCTTCTGGTTCGCCATCGCCTACTTCGGGTAATTTATTCAATCCAAGATGAGCTGTGATCCAATACAAAATATGAAAACTATGAAGTGTGCATTGAGCCACTTTGCATTTGCTCTTTGCATGTAGGATCGGTCTTAATGATTAAAGTCTATTAGGTTCTGGGTCAACTAGAATCTACCTTAATTTAAGAATACATTTATATGCATCCCACCCCTGTGAATGCTTGTAACTCTTTCAACAGTTATATTCATATTTTGTATATAGCGGTAAATATTTTTAAGTTACGTAATTTCGGCAATGGGCGTAGGACATGCGCATAAAAGCATTGAAAAAAACATGAAAACTATGAAGGGTGCATTAGGAACACGGTTGTCTGGTTCCCAATCACTGGTCCGCGGACCAGTGCCGGTCTGCATCGATTTTTTGTCGGTCCGCATCAAATTTCGTTGTTTTGTTGTTTTCGTGTCGTCTCAATCGCTATACTGAAGCTTAAAAGACGAAGTTGCGTTGGTTTATTTCGCAATTTTTCGTCTAGCGTCATTTTGTTGTTTGATGAGTGCCCGGTATTAATGGCCACGGCAACGTCCTGGCGCCAAGTAGTCACACTTTATGCATGCTTTTTCTGTTCTGCATGCTTTTCCTGATTAATATGACCGTCCAAATAAAGGTTATGCATAATTCCTGGGGCCTATATAATAGATTTAATATGACACATCTTTCAATCTAACACTGTTTGCCAAAATATAACTGAGTTATAATGGGCTAAACCAGTGGTTCCTAAACTTTTTGAGCCGCGCCCCCCTTTGAAAAATTTTATGGACTTCGCGCCCCTCCTTTTTGCTTTGGAAAAATGCTTTCGTAATGGGCAGGTTGCTTTATAATAAGATGGAGCTGTAAGAGTGTTGGGTCTCATAGCGTCATTGCTCAGATTGCTTAGGCATAAAACGCATCGGGTACAATTTCGCCTTTCACTGTCGTATGTATAAAGCCATACACAAATACTGGTCATCATACATTCTCTTTTTTTCGCTCAGTTTGCAATACCTGGTGAAGTCAACTTAAGTTCTACGTAAAATTGAACACGCGATAAACGTATGCTCTTTGCGCTTTTAAGGTTTTTTTTGCATATACTATTACGACATGTAAAATTTCAATTGTTTACTTCACTATTGAGCAAGGCAAAAATTATTTACTGTGTGATAAGAATACACAACAATTACAGACTTCTTGGCTTGCCTAACGTCTCTAAAATTCACTACCAATACCTTTGGACAACCACCAGGTTAAAAATACAGTTTACACAATGGAGAAGTGCAAATTAATTTATGTAGATTTGTAGCATGAAAAGCCGTTCAATTGTTAATAGTGAAATTTTCCCGACCCTCGAGCGCTGAAAAATAAAGTCTCTAATGACGTTTGCGATTGCATTTTGTTTAAATCTCTGATTGTTTTCACTTGCGTGACGTGTTATTTAAGCCGTAAAAATCTTTATTTCGGTGTTTATCTCCCTAAAGCGGAAAACAAATAATTTGTGCCGAGAAGACATGATAATTACTTTTTGTGTTCTCGCATGGAACCATGACATCTGTGGGGAAACGAGTTAGTTTTTATTATATACCGTATTTCTCTGTGTATAATAAGCACCCGTGTATAATACGCAGGGCTCGTTTAGCGTGTGGATTGTATGAAAAAACAAGGGTCCATGCATAATAAGCACGGCCGAATTCTGTCACTCACTTGCGTCAACCTTATTTTGTATTTTCCAGAAGCAAAACAGAAATAACGGACGACAACAACAATTAAACTATAGATTTAAAGTTCCGTTCTCATCACTTATATACGCTGGTCATTGAAATAGATGCGTTGCCCTTTGTCAGACAGCATAATTCATTCCGTGGGTGTGATTCTACTACAACAAGCATGATCTTGTTACAACCGACTTTGTCACATAAAATAATATAAATAGGGCGGAAAGGCATGTGATAAGTATTCGCAAATTGGGTGTAAAATATTGATCAGGATTATTTTAAATTTTTTTAAACAATGTATAATACGCACCCCCTAATTTTGGAGATGAAATCAGGAGCCGGAAGTGCGTATTATACACGGAGAAATACGGTAATCATATCAGCGATGAGATGCTAAAGATAGAATAAAGAAGTGAATCCGCAACCAAAAATTTCTAAATGGAAAAAGCGGCATTATAAAATACTAAAACGGAAAACACCAACGGGTTTTTTCATATAGGATGGAACGCGACAGTTCAAAAACACTTCATAGGCATCGCAAATCTCGTATATTCCTTGTTCCCGCGGCACACCTGTAGTGTGGATAAAGAAACCATTCCAAATATTTATATCGATCATGGATTGAATGTTTTATTCAACAGGAAAACCGATACATATGCGTTGGAAAAGTCGGCTATTTCAACAAGTGGCGTAATCTCAACAACTGACCCGGGAGCCGTACCGCGGGTGTTATGAGGCGATGAATATATATTTCTGATTCACTAATATACTTTATATGTAATTTCATGTACTAAATTGAATATATATACTTCCTAAGATTTTATACCAGATCTTTCGAACGACAATAACGAATTTGCATGAGCGCAATATATATCAAAACTAAATATTGTCGGGCAGTTGATCTCACATCCTTATGTCCAGGGATTGATGTGGTATTTTTGATCTGTAATGAGTTCATTTTGTCATGAGTCGGCGCAACCGCGAGCTACCTTGAACACAAATGAAGTAAAATAGAGAAACATTTTGAATTCTTGTAGTTGTCATAGATTAAATATTGCGGGACGAAAAAAGGGTATTATACCGTGAAAAAGCAGGCATTTTTAACGAACCGAAGACCGTTTCAGGAGACGTTGCATGGAAATTTTCGATTCCATCTTGTGACCTCTCGCGCCTCCCCTGAAAGCATCTCGCGCCCCCCAGTTTAAAAATCACTGGGCTAAACATACAAAAAAAGATACTGAGATTCAAAACATATATGATGGAAAAATATTAAGGTTTCAAAGATTATTCATTTACGAACCTGCTGGATTCTTGTCAGCCAGATGCACAGGGCCAAATCCAATACCAAGTATATCCATGATATTTTAGTGTAGTACTAAAGTCGTTCTATGGATATTGACTGTGGGAAAAAGTATAAACATAAGATTAGAGCTAAGCATTTTGATTGATTATTCGAATAGAATAGTAAATTGCCTGAATCTGTAAAGTAAAAACTTGGTTTTGCAGTCATTGAGATGCGCTAAACTTCTGTCATCTGTGTCATCAAAGATGCTACGCGTAACTCGTGAACGTGACAGACGAAGCCAGATGCAAAAAAACAAAAACAGAACTCAACCCTTTTTTCTAACATTAATTTCATCTTTTCGAGCTAGGAATACTTCCTGATAAGAAAAATTCCAATTAAATTGATAAAAAAAATTGGGAATATGTCGAAAAAAATATTGAACTTTTACAAAAATATTAAACTGTTACAACTGGAAATTGGTTTAAAAAGTATTCATATGAACTGACAAATTTCGAAATAACCAAAAAAATTTTTTTTTTTGAATCATAAAATACAATATTAAAATTTTACATTGATTTCATGAGTATTCATACGATCTGACAAATTTCTATGAAACGAAAAATGTTGGGGAATCGTAAAAAGCAATACCACAATTGTTATGTTGGTAATAAATATTTTTACCACTGAAAATTCACAAGTATTGAAAAAATGCTCAATTAAAATTTTCAATACAGATTTTGTGTTTACTTGAAGCAAAATTAGCTTTTATCTGTAATTTATGACTATGAACCATTTGTCAAATTAAAATCCATAATGCCTACTTTATATTGCCTAACACTAAACCACTTTGTCTTTTAATCAAAGAACAGCATAGCAACGAATAAATTACCTGTACCATGGAATTCTAATTCTTATCTGACACCCAACAATATATTATTTTATGACATAGGCTTACCATACGTTCCGCTTTAGGTGGGACAGTCCCACTTTTTAGCGTCAAGTCCCGCCGCCCCGACAAGTCAGCCAAAAGTCCCGCTTTTGCATTAAGCTGTAGCGAATGTGCATTCTCTCGTATACCTTAGCCATTATTCGTCATATCGTACCTTTTATTGATTCGTGTTTTTTTGTTTTTAGACTTTCATCTCTCGGCGACCGGACTACAAAATTTAAAAAATTACCAAGTTAATTTTTTTTACTGTCGAGGGGGAATTGTGTAGCGAATGTGCATTGTGTAACTATGGATTATAATGTATTTAACCCTTTCATATTAATAGCATGTAATATTTCACAAAATAGGCCGCATTATGTTTCGCAACAGCGATAATGCATTCGCTCCATGTATTGCCTTTCTCGTTTCGACCAATTTGATAACGTATCGTTTCCGGTTTGCCGAGAATGCTCTATAATATTGTGTTTTTTGTTTCACTCGATATATGACTTGTGATCTGACCGTAATCTTACTGCATTAGGAATTAAGTGTGTACAATTTTATCTGTATTTGGAATTTGGATCGTGCATCTTTTCAATAATATACAACAATTCAACAATCATCATCGTGTGCTTATTATCGTCTGAGGGAATCCAGATTGGAGTCACATTCCATAACACGTGAAATTAATAACGTGGGAATCGAACTTTGAATATTAGGGTGAACAGCCTTTATCCCTAAGACCGCATCTCGTCTCCCTATAAAGCCATCTAGCATAATACACGAACATTTCTCGTTACTGTTGTTGCTGTGTAGTGCAACGCTAACGTACTTACTGAAGGTGAATGCGTTATTTTGTTTGTTTCCCGCTAACATTGTTAGCGAACGTATCGTGTATAAAATCAATTCTAATTGCTCCTGTTTGGACGTTCGCGTGAAAGTAACATTGAAAAACGTTTGTTTAAATGAGTTATCTACAAAAAAGCATGCTTGGGCGAATAAGTAAATTCTCAATGCTTGAAAACGGCTGACTATTTCATTAACTTCTATTCCTTTTGCTGTACATAAAAAAATCTAAATTCGGATCATTTGTATCGTTAGCGTCTATTCCTTTTTATTTTTCGAACTGAACTCGACATTTAGACATTTATTGGAAGCATCTGTTAGTACAATTCAGTAGATGCTGGTGAAGGGTCTTGTTTTGAGCAAAAACGTGGATAAGCGTTTCTTTGGGAAGTTTTTTTTTAATAAAACTCTAAGAAATATAAGAAAAAAAAGTGTTCACTTAATTCAAACAATGGACAATAAACTTTGGGAGCATTGCAATAACATAACTGAATGAATACCTGAGCAAACATCAGTGGAGCAATAAAGTTTGTTAATCTGGCAAAACAAATAGCAGAGTGCACATAGTTTTGTTCATGAATGACATTAAAAGTCAACTGAATTAGGTTACAAACAGTAGCCAAAAGTGTCCTAATGTCCAATATCATGAAGTAAGCTCTATCTAACAACTACTAAAATATCTACTCATCTACCCAATAGTTTTCCCTGAATAAGTTTTATATCTCTCGAACTTTTTGAGCCAAGCCCATTTTTTGATATTCGTCAAGTCTCACACCTCACCTCAAAAATGACTAGGTAACAATAAGCTACAAGTTACAGATATTATGGTGAAACTATGTTTTATTAGAAAATCACGTTGAAAATACATGGAAGGAATCGCAATCTCTAAACAATAAATAAATGTAAATATCTAAAATAAGTCAAGCAAGATCAAATCAAATTTTTATTTTTAATAAGCTCCATGCACCTCAAAAAAATTTGACATCGAACACTGCTCTATATGAACAGCTACAAATGTTTGCTCTGAAGTAGTCCCGAAGCCATTACTTGATGATAAAATTCATTCATTTGTCTTATTTATTACGCATCCACTCACAGATAAGATCTGTACTGTACAGTCTTGCGATTCCCATCCAAGTGTATTACTTTTAAGGTTGTGGACAAAACACTAGTTAAGAGTATCCGGATGTTCATTCACACATTTTTGTACAAAATCCTAATTCTGTGTACTATTGAGAGGCTGCCTAGTTCAGGGCAAATGTGTGTATACAACAAAGAACATATATATACATGCTTGAATGGTTCATGAATACTTGGTTTCATAGGATAATAATTGTGTGCAATTCAACATTTTTCACCTTGCTCCACTGCCTGGCCAAGGGATGAATGATAAAAAATGATAATCATTTCCATCATTCGTATAAAAGATTTAATTTAATGTCACGGGGACAGTTTCTATGAAACTGTTACTCCAGTCCAATTATTGCTTATAAAGTTTGTCAGCCTGTTTCTTAATTCTACTAATCCTGTGATTAGATATTGAAAATCTCAAGCCTGGGATTTCAGATCTGCTCCCAAAATAGCAACCCTAACAGAGTATGATATCATGAGATAAAAATTGTGTGAATGAAAACTGACCATACACATTACCAAATAAACCATCTACCAAGACCAACAATAGATTTTGTGTAATAAGTTAATTCAGATTCCGTTTTAGTAAAAAAAAACTTGGAGGGAAGTGTTCACAGAAGTTACTGTTTTTAAATGTACACTCTCAATCCTTATTCGTACTAAAAACGTTTAGTGTTATTCATAGTTACTTTTGGGGCTTAGTACACATAATACATCCAACACAGCGAATCTCCAAATGAAACTATTTTATACAGCGCTCTTCATGCCTTCTGCTCTGAATCAGGCCCTGTACGAGACTCCACTGTTATCTCATGATATCTAGGAAGCTACTGTTTCAGAGGAAAAACATATGAATGAATCATCATCATCAAAACATTAATCAGTCTTCTCAAAGTTTGTTAGTGCTTCCAAAGGGTACTTTGAAAAACAACTATTCAAACAAAAAATAACACATCACGAAGACAAAATAACTTTCTAAAGAAATGTCATAGCAATGTCTGAGACAGGAAATGTGATACGCCTTTCACAATGCTAAACACGACATGTGATACGCCTTTACAATACAACTGTGTTCGCTTCTCATTATATTCTCAAAACAATGATATGATTCCCTCTTTATCCATCTTTCATCTCAAGAAGATTACAAGATACAAGACAATAGATACTATGGTCAGGTGTCCGCCATCATGGTTCATATACTACGGGAGCGCCGATGATTATTATCAATATAATATTTTGCCTTGTCCCAGTTTGATTTGTTACAAAATAACAAAAAAACGGCGAGCTACAAACGCTGAAGAGACAATTGACATCTAGTGATAATGATATATCATATTTCATAATTTCATGGTATTTCAATCTAGTTTTAAACCGTCTTTTGACACTCTTCAGTGAGACGTTAAACAAACACATAAGTGTCTTTTCAAACCTTTTATCACAATATTAGTTTAAATACCACCAAAGTCAGATAATTATTTAGATCAAAAGGAGTCAACAAACAAAAAAACTGACAACCATATGTATATATACTCACTGTATGACTGTTATTCTTAGTTACTGTTTGGGAACAGTATATAATAATACATATCATCTTATTCTAATCTAACACAGCGGTTCCTCAAATGGGACGATTCGCTAATTGCGCCCCGAGAATTGACAGAATTGTGTTAAACATAACTAATCAGATTGAATACTTTACATCATATTGTTTATATCATAAATGTTTTATTGCTCCCCATTTGATAGGCTATATAAAAATAAATTCATTTTACCTTTCTATGTCATATACTTTCTGTGTTAGGCAGTGTTATGTAACAATCACAAAATCGAGTTTTATTCAAATGTAGCAATTATTTTCGTGTGAGTGTGCCATGTTTTCCCTGATAACTTGGTGCCAAACAAACAAGTTTGGAAACCGCTGATCTAATATGACGAAAATATAAAATGTAGGTTGTGCACCATTATTTCTACCCAACTCACTTTCAATTGATTAAACAGCTGTCTGATATTCAGAAATATTGAAGGTTATTAATCTAATACTATTAGTAATGAATTGGGTTGATATTACGGTAATGCATTAATAATTTATATCGATTTAATATTTTATACAGGGTATTAAAAAAGTAATGCAAAATTAACAGAAGTTTAAATGAAATACTACATTTAAGGACCGACACCTTTTAACAGTATTGAATTACAATGAAATGCCAT